GGGCCTTTTGGGCCGTGAGTGCACACTGCCGGCGCGTGTTCAGTTTTTCATTCTTTGCCCAGCCCGTATTTCTGCTTGGGATTGCCTCAACCCATGTGCAGGTCCCTGCACTTGGCTTTATTGAACTTCATGATGCCTGTCCAGGTCCCTCTGGATGGCATCCCTTCCCTCTAGCACGTCGACTGCACCACACAGCTTGGTGTCGTTGGCAAACTTGCTGAGGGTGCACTTGATCCCACTGTCCATGTCACCAACAAAGATGTTAAATAGCACTGGTCCCAGTATCAATCCCTGAGGAACACCACTTTTCACCAGTCTCCATTCAGACATTGAGACACTGACCACAACTCTCTGAGTGCAACCATCCAGCCAATTCCTTACCAAGTGGGTGGTCCATCCTTCAAATCCATATTTTTCCAATTTGCCCACCAGGATGTCATGCGGAACAGTGCCAAACGCTTTGCAGAAGCCCAGGTAGGTGACATCAGTTGCTCTTCCTTTGTCCACTGATGCCGTAACTCCATCATAAAAGGCCACCAGGTTTGTCAGGCACGATTTGCCCTTGATGAAGCCATGCTGGTTACCAATCACCTCTCCTTCATTTTCCATGTGCCTTAGTAGAGCGTTCAGGAGGATCTGCTCCATGATCCTGCCAGGCACAGACGTGAGACTGACTGGCCTGTAGTTCCCTGGGTCATCTTCTTTGCCCTTCTTGAAAATGGGGGTTATATTTCCCCTTTTCCAGTCAGTGGGAACTTCACTAGACTGCCATGACCTTTCAAATATGGCAGTTAATGGCTTGGCAACTTATATCCCCAAGTTCCCTCAGGCCCCGCGGACAGATCTCATCAGGTCCCATGGACTTGTGCACCTTCAGGTTCTTGAAATGGTCTTGAACCTGATCTTCACTTACGGTGGGCGGATCTTCCTTCTCCCAGTTCTTACCTTCACTTTCTGCAACTCGGGCAATGCGGCCACAGCCCTTGCCAGTGAAGACCAAGGCAAAGAAGTCATTGAGCACCCTGGCCTTCTCTGAATCCCTCGTGGCCAGGTCTCCAGTTTCCTTCTGGAGAGGGCCCACATCTTCCCTAGTCTTCCTTTTATCACTGATGTACTTGTAGAAGTTCCTCTTGTTCCCCTTTATGTCCCTGGCTAGATTTAATTCCATCTGGGCTTTAGCTTTCCTAACCTGATCCCTGTCTGCTTGGACAGCCTCTTTGTATTCCTCCGAGCTAACCTGTTCTTGCTTCCACTCCCTCTATATTTTCTTTTTGTGCTGGAGTAAGTCCAAGAGCTCCTTGTTCATCCACAGAGGCCTCCTGGTATTCTTGCCCGCCTTCCTCTTTCTTGGGATGCATTGCTCCTGTGCTTGCAGGAGATGATCCTTGAATACCGACTAGCTTTCTTGAAGTGTGTATTACCACCAGATTATGCCACGAGTACAGGAAATAATAAAAGGTATGCTGTCTGTAAAACTGAACTGGCTCCAGTGGTTTGAAGCATTTGTTGCAGCAGTATTCAAGTTGTGCTCGGACATAGATTTCTATCTGCTTTCTTCAAACTCGTCCCTCTTCAACCTGTGCTTCTCCTTCTGGGTTTCATTCAGGTTGGTACACTTAGAGGATAATTAACACATGAACAAAAGGGTTTGCCAGGCCAGATCTACCTGCAGGGAGCAGAGTGGGACCTATGGGGACTGTGACCCTCTCCGTAGCACCGCTTCATGGGGCATACCTGCAACATGTATCTTCCTGTGACAGCATGTGCATCTCTGTCACCCAAATCATGGGACCTATGTGTGTATATGCATATGTTCCCAACTGCGGTATCCAACACATTTTAAAAGATTTATTATTTCTAAAAGGATATTTCAGTATAGCAAGAAAACAGACACTTTCCTAGTTGGTCTTTCTTTGCCAATGATGTCTGTGTGACAAACTGTCTCCAACAAAAAAGTATTCAGGCACAATAAGACATGCCACACATAGACCTTGCTGGCCCTGCCCAGCCTTTCCTGAAGCCCCCAAACCTCCTGCCCATGGGCCCAAGGGCCCCCAGTCCCTGCCTCACCAACATTGTAGCTGTCTCTAGCTGGGTCATGGCTGTGCCTGTGCCTGGCCATGCACCTTTCTGGTCGGTACCCTGAACCACTGGCTGACTTCCTGGCTTGACCTGGACCTGCCTTGTTCCCATGGGCTTGTCATCACTGGGCTGTGTCTGACCCTACTCCCTAACATGGCAGAGGTAATATCTGAAAAAATCAACAAGGATGCAAAGCACTATTTATGGGAAAGGAGAAGAATATTCATGTTAACTTCTTAAATGTACGTGGAAATGTGTTTTCTGTTGATGAAGGTCCTACTCTGCACCCACTAACATATATACTTAAAATTAGTCCAGTGTACAAAGACTGTGTGCACAACCAGAACCAAGGTCATCAGCTAAATCAATTCATGATTAACATGCAGTGTTTTAATTATTAGTTTTTCAATATGCTGTACAACCAATCTCCCCCATGCTCCTCTCATCTGTTGTGCAGATGTAATCACATGCACAGTGGTGCAGTGCTTTCTATAAGGCTACATGCAGAATGACTTCTCAGTTGGAGTTCCTTGTTCTTAAACTCATAAATAGATTATTGTATTGTAAAGCACCAAGTCTACTAAAGATAGCACTAAGAGCTTTTCCCTGGTACTATCTAAGCTCATACTTGAACTAGGAGCCTAGGCTGTGCTGCTTAGTTGAGCAATCATCCAGTCCCCCAAGCACTTAGCCTTCTGCCTGCCACTACTTACTGTTTAACTATTCCTTCCAACTATGAAATATGATTTCCCCTTATGAAAAGCACTACAGATTAACTTAAGAACTCAGAAAAGACAGGTTGCTTTCTGTACTTCTGCTTATATGCCAGTTTCATTACCACAGTACCTATATGAACACAAGAACTGAAAAGTCCTAGAACCGAAACCTTAGATAAAAATTGTACAAGATTAAAAAATGGTATACCTCGATCAAAGGCCATTTTCACATCTTCAATGTGCTCAGTGAAGCCTGAGACTCTATAGAGGCCCTCGGACTTTAAACCTGAAACAAAAAGTTCTTTATTAACTTTGCTTCAGTAACCAACAAATATTCAGGCTTAAAAACAACAAAGCAAGAACGACAGATCTAGTAAGTGTAGCAAAATATTAGTTGTAATGTAACATTCCAGAGCATTTAAGGAAGGATCAAAGTAATTTTAAGTTGTTTTTTAAAGGATTAAGATTTTTTGACTTTATGCTTTCTGATTCTGTTAGGTACACGGTTGATTATGTTAGAGGAAAATATTGCAATTTGCTAATGGTGGGGCATGTGATGTTATCATGATTTATTCATTTTATTGGGAGATTTTCCTGGATTTGGCTATAATTAGTAAAGCTTTAGAGGTCTCCTTTCCTTTTACCAGTTGCTTAATGATAAACAGCAGTGCAAATAAGAGACTGCCTTTCCCGATAAGCACATTTGTTTCAGTTTTGCTCTCAGCTTTTACTTACATAGAGCTGATAGATGTGATGGATACTGTTCTTCTATACATCAGTACATCCCTTCTACAGTTCTTTCACCACAAGAAACCTGCTCACTTGCACAACCCTCCCTGCATTGTTACACACCAACTTGAAATGGAAGGCAGCCCAGCAGAGCAGGCAGAGCTAGCCAAGCAGAGTTTCACACTTATTTTCATCCCAGAACTCTTTATTGTGACTATGCACAGTGCTAACCTACATATAAAATCAGAAACACCTTTTTTTTTCTTAAAAACTCTTTTTTTTTTCTTAAGAACTCTACAGCGATTAAAAAGAGAAATTTAAAGATGCTGAAAAACAGAGAGCAGGCAGCAGATTTTATCCTAATCAATAAATGGACAAGTAAGTGATTAGATCTCAAATGCAATGTAGCTTCCTGAAGGAAGTAAAGCTCTTCTGTCTTAGTCCAAACAATTCTTTCTATTTGTCCCTGCAATGATGATATAATCCTGGTAGAGCTTTATGGAGCAGTGTAGGGGATTTACTTGTAAATCTCTGATTCATTTCAGTAGATGGTGCATGGCTTTGAAATCCCCACGGCTATTATCAGTGTGTTGCCATGCAGATTACTGTGATGCCTTGAATTCAACATTATGAGATTCTTGTGCTGATGCAATGACTAACAGGGAAATTTGGCTTATGGGGCAGCACAACATACATATTTGCTATCCAAACCAAAAATACGTGATTATTATGGTGTCATTTTGGAGGGGATACGGTATTTCTTCAATCTGGCATGCTTCTGCATAGCAAAAACCTGTCACAAACTGGAGCTTTGGACGTGACATGCCACCTGAGCCATGGCACCCATCAGTCAGTAGCTGAGCATCATGTAAAATCCTGTGCAGTTTGTGCCATACCACATAAAGCCACAGCCTGTGACCTCACTTGTTTGAGCCACTTCCAGTCACTTGTGTTCTCTTGCCTGTAGTGTCTGGAAAGGTTATTAATAATGGGTTTGATTTAAACTGATTACTCTGAAATTGGAAGTGTCCCTAGGTATGTGAAAAGAAAATAATTCAAAAAGACACATAAACATGAACTTAAAGTTCACTTTAAAGTTCACCCCTTTCAGAAGTGTAATGTAATACATGTTTTGACATGTTTTCAGAAAGCATTTCAGGAAATTGCATTATGAAACGTCATGATTTAATTTTCCTAGCTAATGCAAAGCAATTTATCACCTACACAAAAAATGCCCTTCTCTCTTCCTGCCTTCAGTGTGCAGGAGCATACTACCCTGTCATAGCTTAGCATGTAATTCAAGTCATCTTCATTTAATTGTGTCTGCTGTTTTCCGAAGCATACAAACCTCTTGCTTCGATCTCTCGAATGCATGAATCCACAACCATTGGCCTCTGGGTATTGTGGGCTTTCACTAGTGTGGTGAGATCGCAGCAGTAGACTCGCTTTATCCTCTTGAGGTCTGGTTGGCAGTCGTTGGGCACGTATTTGGAGCACTGCTTATGTACATTCAACCCGCAGTCTGTAAACAAAGTTAGCCAGGTTAATTAATATTGGCTAACAATTTATTGCCTTGGGCTACACCAAGCAAGGGGCATAAATTCCCCATCAGTTAGCAAAGCTACAGTAAATAAGATGGAGATGAGAAAGATGTGCATGGAAATCTCTTGTAAAAAATTCATGGTGGGCAAAGTGAACTTCAGCATAGTTGTTAAAAAAGCTATATAGGCTCTGAATGTCCTTCACACACCTCTGAACTGGAGGTTACTGTTGGTGTGGTCTGGGTCAGTTCATTGCTGGACACATAGCTCTAGGTGTTGTGTTTGAAAGGACATGTGACTTAACTTCTGTGTATTTTAGTTTAGCCTTTTATAAAATTAGGACAGTAATAACTGTCTTCTGCTGGCCAGCTTGTGGCTTAGTGCTGCTAACAGGCAAAGGACCAAAGATTCACCTGAGCATTCAAACTGGGACAGTGCTTTGAGTGCTAGCGTGCCTTACTTCTCCTTCCACTTTCCTGCAGTGTCACACTTTGGCTTGCTCTGCCACATCAGCAGGCTCCCATCCCTGTCTCATTGCTTCACTGGTGACCAAAGTGTCCCTGTGTTTAGTCTGTAGGTCAGTTTAGCCATATAAAATGCTGTGAAAGGCATGATGTAAAAAAGTGATTAATTTTACAAATGGTTCTTGGTGTCTTACTCTAGAGTCAAATCCTACTCTTGGTTGCATGGGTGGGTTTCCATTAACTTAAACATCACTGCTGGATCTCCACACATTGAATGTTTCTAATAGATTCAAATATTCAGCCAAATGAATTTATAAGCCTCAGTAAAGCTAACACCACTATCGTAAGTTACATTATCTTACATAACTCTGATTCCTGTTTTAATGCCTTCCCAGTCATGCCCATCACTGACAGCACCTTTTGGGCTAACTTGTCTAGCATCATCACTAATAAGTTACTTACTGTTTTTTCATGTTGATTTACTGCTCAAGATATTAAAAATGTAAACATGTCTTTATTACTTGCAGCACACTTCATTATTATTCTCTATAAAATATTAATCAAGCAAAACCATATCATCACTACAAAGACACCTACACATTTAATGGAATTGGTGTTTTTGGTGTGTTTCTCCATACAGTTATTACTGCATAATACATTATTGTTCTGTGAAATCTAAACAAATGTGAGCAGCTGCAGTCAGGATCCTCCCTGTATTTTTTTCAGTGCTGTTCTCCAAACATATGAAGTTAAATCCAAATGCATCTGTCTACTTAGATGTTGATAATTTAATGAGGGAGATTACTATTTTTCATCCTAAATAAATAAGCCTTTTCATAAGTTTAATATTTTATGTTTGTGAAAAAATACAGCTCTATGAATTAGTGAGGTCAGTTTTAACACACTTGTTTCAAATAGTTTGAAAAGCAAACTACTATTAATTCTCTTTTTTAATGTCCTTCTCATATTCTTAGTGTTACCATTATTCATCTACAGGCAGACAAGATATAGCAGTAACGGAGGCGGCACTTACTAAAACTTTGCATTTGTGAAGGGTATTTTGAGCCTTCAAACTGGTGTCTAAATTTTAGGTAACAACCACCTCCTCTACCCACGCAAGGCAGATGGTGGGGCAGATGTGTTCGGTGCCAGTCTGAGACCAGAAGGTCAGGGCAGGGAGACATAAGACAGAAGCGTATTCAGTTGAGACATGGGAGGGAGTCTGTAGAAAGAAGTTACAAAACCCCCTTTGCAGTGCACCAAATACCATTTTACTCGCTGAACCCAAAAGCTTGTGAAGTGATGATTATTGCATTTTTGTGAGATGGATTATTTTTCGCAAAAGAACAAACAAATTTAAGGTAATTAAAATGCTACTAAAATGCTGATACAATGATAGAAGCACCAGAAAATTAATCCTTCTGGGAAATGAAGGTTGTAGTTTTTGCTTTCCCTTGAGGTGGGCTACTTAAGGCTTGCGGCAATGCATGGTATTTTTACAGAAAACAGGTGACAGTCTTTTTGCAGACATGGGCACTTCTCAGCCATTGGTGGCAAAAAGATGAGTTATGCAGCCTAGTTGCTGTCTGGCTCTGACATTTTCAAAGCTTGTTTCTTAAGACGTTAAAACATTCAGGGATAACTTAATGATAGCATAAATAATTCTTAATATATACACCAAGGCACATGCAAGACCAAGGTACTACTGAAAGGATGTCACCCTCAGCAATCAAGGGCTGGTGGCTTCATTTCTAAACCAGCTAATGGGGAAAATGACAGCACTCTGACTTGCATGGGAGGAATTTCTTGCCTTGTTCTGTAAAGTAATCCCTACCTGCCCCTAGCCCCTGCGGGGAGTGCAGGCTGGGGGTGGGAGGGAGACCGGAGCATTTCAAGAGAAAGACAGAAAATGTTGAAGGGCTACCTGAACATCTCACTCCCTGAGCGATGAGACCCCACATGAAGTTGGCACAGTATTCACACCAGTGTGGACCTCGAAATGTGTGGACCTGTAACACAAATGGGGGGTGGGGAAAGAAATGTGGTCATTGGGAGGCAGATGGTCTGACAGATGGAGCAACTGAAATGGATAAACAACAGAAGACTCAGTAGGAGTAAATCTCTAGCACACAGTGCCCACATCTTTCCAAAGTCTAGATGAAATAAACCATGGGAACAGAAATTTGCTTTGATCTTGAAGTTTATCTTTCAATAGGCTTAACATAACAGAGAACTGGGCTGTATACGGCATTGAAAATAAATCGGGTTTGCTAGCTGACATTTTAGCTATAGTGGATGGGAGGAAACCAAGTTCACTACTCAAAGGAGGAAAAAGTAAAACTAATAATCCAAGGAACTGTAGTCAGTGCTTTTATTTGACTAGTTCAAACAGAACAGGAATGATTCAAATGCTCTTCAACAGATCATTTGAAAGCAGGGGAAATGCAGTGACAGAAAGCTCCTTTGAATGCACCACATTTTGGTTCCTCATGTTCCTCATAAATGCCTGTGGTCAAAGATCTGGTGCAAGACCCATGTTATAAGAGCACCAGGAAGGTTTGAGCACACTACAACTATGGTGTTACATGTGCATATATATGTCCTTCAACACTGAAAAAAACTCGAGGCGATTGCTGTAAATTTGTATCAGGGGTGATAATGAATGATTTGTGTGGCCGCTCCAGGCAGCAGTTAGGTAATGATCTGATTTTGCACACTGGAATCCACTAGTGACAAAAGCAAATTACACCCTTCTCCACTCTATTAAGTAAACTGAACTCACATAAGCAAAAGATGTCAGTAGGGTCTTTTTCAGCAGAGCAAACTTCTTTTTGCTACAGTCTGTGCATGAGTAAATAAGGAGGAATAAAATGACCTGCATATTGACAGAGCACATGGCTCCCACACCAGGTTTTGCACAGCACTGCTGCTTCCTACGCTGCTTTTCCAAAGCTACTGTGGAAAACCCTTTTTATTTAAGATGTATGTTCTGGTAAAGTAAGCATTTCATTTTCATTGAAAAGAAGACTAAATAGTGAAGTCTACGCCTGTGTGAGTGGACATGGTATGAGCTAGTTCTGGCTGGAGACTTAATTGAACTTAACAAAACATAACTCATGCACACTTCAGCTGCTAATGCTTCCTTTTCCTTCTCTCTACTTTTGTTTACCTGTTCGGTGGATGGCTGAAAGGCCACTTCTCCCCCCTGGGATGGGGAAAGCTGCTCTTTACTTTTAATAGAGTAAAAAAATGGTAACTGCCCTTTTCAGATAAACTTGGTGAAGTTTTAAGCGAAGCTTTTGGCTTGCTAATATTTTTGCCCCATTTGGCTGCAAGATCACACCTAAACACATCTGTACTCTTGAGTCCATTCCCCAGGAAGATGAAGTATTGTGATTTTAATAAAGACCTCTCTTTATGATTTAGTGATAAAAATGTGAGCCTGACCATAAATTACTCCTGACCAACTACTCACAGTCAACAATTGCATGAATAAGCTTAAAGCAATACAAATTCTTCTTCCCTTTTGACAGTAAATGGTCTAACTGGAATGTCTGACTGGTCATATTTATTTTTTGAAAAGGTATTTTACTTCTCAGAAAAATGTGTATCTATGGGAAAAAACGCTTTGGAATGAAGTTTGAGAGAAATATATATATTTATATATTTATATTTATATGTGTAAATATATATATATATTTACACACATCCCCCCCTTGCTCAGACAAGGCTTTTAGTGGAGGTACCTAACATCACCTGATGACCTGAGTTTCAGGCATATGCTGTATGTGACCTTCAGTGGATACAAAACTACAGATACAACTAATTATGCATGCATCTTTACCATTTTTAGACTGATAACCACATAATTAGTAGGTCTGCACCTGCATTCAATTGTGGGAAGATAGCCAACTATATCTTCTCCTTTGCAGTGGTTTACAAAAGCTAACCTCATGAGAAATGGCTGTAAAAGCTCATTCAGGATTTTAAAAATTGCACCATTTCACATTGAAAGTCCATCACAGTTGCTAGGATATTTGGGGCCTACTTGCTCACTTTACATAAAGCTTATTTCAGCTGATCTTGCTGTGGCATATTTAGAAAATGGTAGCTGATTATTCCTTGATCTCTCTTGTAATTAACGGGCAGCAGTCATCAATGCTGACTGAGGGCTCCCTCTGAGAACTGCTGACTGCGCACCCTTCCCTTGTTCCCTTCAGCCTGGTGGCCCTCAACGGTTTAGCTCTCTTTATTAATTCATCCCAGTTTTTCATGGATCTGCATTTTAGCTCAAATGGCAAGTTCCCAACTGAAATGCTCTGAGAAAAGCAAGTCCTGGTGGTCTCTGGTCAACCTGAAATAGGGAAATATTTGCTATCTCTAACTGAAAAGCGGAGACCTTCAAAAGTTTGTAGATGAAAGTGCAAAAAATATCTTAAGATGCAGTTTTGAACGAAGTCTCTTATGGCTTGCCATTAAAGAAATAATGAAGGAAGTCTGTTCTTATTAACACAACACTTGAATGCAGCCCAAAGCTTGCAGACAACAGTTTCAAATGGTAAATGGTAATTCTGTCTGCAAGACTGATCTCATCTCTGTTTTAAACAAGGAGAGGTAACAGCAGATCTTAGGTTTTTGAGATGGGTTTTTAGGTTTTGCCTCATCCTTTGTAACCACATCATTACAAATGGACTGGGCTTAGATTTTTTGAAACATGATCAAGATCTATTTATTATTGGTCCCTACCCCATCCTGAAGTCTCAGGAGACCTCTCTGTGTACACACAGCATAGGCTCAGCCTGCTTGGGCTACAGTCGACACGTAATTCCAACTTCTAAGAATTTACAAGGAAGTATTTCTTCATATAAGCCAAACCCATGGTGATTCAGACAATACACTGTACTTTTCTTGTTCAGTCTTTCATCTCCTTTCCACAGTGTCTAACTCCTAACTTCTTCAATCTCTTTCCTTTCCAGCTTCAAGTCTTTCAATTAAAAGTTGGTTCTTACATTCATCCTTTTCTCTGCTGGACAATTTCACCCAATACTACACTGTATGTCTTTTCTTATTGCCCTCGCATGTTCCCACCTTCATCTTTCAGCCCTCTGGTGCCCTTGCTTCCAATCGGCAGAATTGCCCCCACGGGTGCTATCTCATTCAGTTTTAGTCTGTATCTGAGCTGTGTTCGCAGAGGGAGAAACTAAGACCAAAGTTAAGGAGTGCCAATACAGTGGCAAAAAAAATAAAAAAAAAAAAAATCCCTTAAGCAGTATTGCAGAAACAAACTAAAAATTGCCTTGAATTGAAATGCATGGTTTTTACTGGCATTATATGGTGCTGTTTCTGAGACAATTTTGTTGTTTATCTGACCAGGTTTGAAGACTTTTCTATTTGCCTCCAAAGAAAGTAAGAGCTTTTTCAGACTCGCCTGAATACATGCGCATTTGTACTCTCCTGTGGACTCCTGCTGACCCTGAGCTGTTTGCAAGGAAGAAAAGCTGACCCAGCCATTATTTTTGTTTAAATACATACACATAATCTTCATGATGTCTGTAAAAAATGTCTCCCATAAACCTTTTGTCTCCCAGAAGCAGTGTTTGTCTGCAGTGATTAACACAAGGGGAAATTTATCCCAGAGCCTCCTTTCTTCCAGCAAATCTTCTGACTTGTCAGTAATCAGCTGCCTTTACTCCGCTAGCCTGCCTTCAAATGGGATTTAACCACGGCAAACAGGCACAATATTGTGGTAAATGCACATTATTCAGCTGTATTTGCTCACTTAAAGCAGCACAGAGGCCCTCTCATGAATTCTCAGCCTAGAACAAAATGCGTGGAGCATCCCCAAACTCCACGCCACTGCCCCTGGGCACGAGGTTGTCCTCACTACCAGCTGGAACTCCACTGAAGTTGGCAGGTAAAGCACATCCCAAAGAGCCTGCAGGACCCTAACTGTAATGAGATGCAAGAGGACTTCGCAATCCAGTTAGGCTGACGCCCACATAGTTACAGAAATACCTCTGTGTTTTTCTAAACAGGGCTTCAGAGATTTATTCTCTTTCCTGAATTACGGTATGTCTATGCTGGCTTATGCAAAAGTGTCCCGCCAGACAGACGCCAGCTCCAAACCTAAATACATGTGACTGTGTTGTGTGCTCAGGATGAACCCAGCTTAACAAATCAGTCTGGATACTAAATCTTTTTTTTGTTAATTTGCCTTGAATGCCTTGAAATTTGGAAGAAAGGCTGAATGAGAAAGAATGGGTGCTCAGAATGGAATAACCTTGTGCCCTCACGCTCTAAACTCCAACGCTCCTTTTTAATTTTTATATTCGCTTGGAAAGGATGGAGAGAGAGCTGTCCTTGCTCTGAATTTGTACCTTGAGTCTACTTCTTCCTTTTGAAGATTTTTTAAGATTCTTCATGGCTAAAGGACAAGAGCTGAAGAGTATCTGTTTGGTCATGAAGAATTGCCTATGACAAGATTATGAGGGACACTGACACGTAACCTTTGTCCCTATGAATGGAGATGAATGAAACAATACATGTCAGCGTTCACCTAAAAATGGGGAAGACAACTCTTTGAATGTCTGCAAAATAGTGTTCTCCTTCAGATAAATCCCATATCATCATAGCCTAAGCGCTGTCAAAAGCCATTAAGAATTTTGCCCCAAGACCCATAAAGCCATTCTTTCTCTTTTAAATAATTTCTTAACCCTTTTATATAATGAATATGGAATATATTAAAGATATTAGACTTCAATTTAGCCATCTTTTAAATCGAAATATTCTACTCTAAGCATTCTATCCACATATTTTGTTCAACAGCTAGACACGTTTTAATATATTCGTTTGGAAAACTAACTGTATTTGCATAGTGAACATATTTGTTCGTTATGTAACTGTACCACTTTTGACTGGCCTTTCTGGTCAATTTTTTAAAATGTTTCTTCCTTAAGTTTTTTATTGCCTTTACTAGAATAAAACAATAATTTTCTACTGTCAAGCCTTTGTATACATATATATTTTAATCGTGGTTTTCCAGTTAAACTATGACTCTTTTGAAACAGAAAGAAACAGCGACTATACAACAGCTAGATTGTGAAAATGCAAAGTTAACTGGGCACGTGTCCAATTATAAATCAAAGCCAAAACAAGGGGAATTTTGAGGAGGAAAGAATGCATGGGTCAAAGTGGAAAAAAGTCTCAGTCATGAGAAAATATTTTCTAGTTAAACTAAAATAGTTTTGATATTAAGATGATAATGAGGGCAAAACCCAGAAAGAACAAAAGCTGGTTTAATCAAGCAAGAAGAGAGAGTATTTCCCCAATTTCCTTCAGTGTTGATCAGTGAGATAAATATTGACTTTTCTGTAGACTGGGTCAAGGAGGGGGAATAAGAAAAGGGATGCTATTATTTGTTTTGCTCACTGATATTAAATTATTGATTTAGCAACTACAGCAGAAGCACTGCAGAAGAGAGCAATGTCTGCACGTCAGAATATGTAGAAAAAGAAGAAGTGAAGCTTTTTTGCTAAACCAGGAAGTCAGTGAAATAATTTTAATCAGTGCTTCTCCTTTCTTGACAGGCCCGAGATGAATATCAGAAAATTCTCTTTCTGCTAATGAGTTGAACTATTCTGACAGTGACCCAGATCAGCATCCTCAAGGAACATTAAGTAAACTGAGGTTTCAAAGCCGAGATGCATTCCTTTCTTGTCTTGTTACTGCCTCTTATTATCTCTGTATCCATCCCGATAACCATCAAACTGCAATTTGACAGCATTAGATACGGTAACCAGCTGGCATACTCTCAAACCAGCACAGTCCTTTGGCAAAACATTTTAGTACAAGCTGCCTGGAAGGTCTGACTCACTTCCCTGCTGCAGCATGCCAGACACAGCACTTGGGAAGAGACCCTTAAGAATCTGATTTCGTATGTGTAAGACAGCAAAAAGATGATCCCTTTACACATCCCTATGTTTGTCCAGCTATTTGGTTTAGTCTGACAAGCAAACACAAGTTCAGATTCTATAGCTTAGTGGGACCCTGAGACCATTTCCTTAGCATATGGTGGTGGAACAAAAGCTAGGAGACAATACCACCGCCTCGCTCTGCTTTATTGTTAGGGAGCACCCCAGCTTCCTCTACTTCTTCTGAAAACAGAAATGGTCCAAAATGTTTGCTTGTAAAAGGCTGCTGGCTTTTGATAATAGGTAGATTTTGAAAAGGGGCCTTTTTATCATTTAAAAATAGATACCCTTTAAGATAAAGACAATCAATATGAAATACTTTTTTTTCTGAACAAAAAAGAAAACTGAATCTGGGAAAAAAGAACTAAAATGCCAATCAAGTAGTGCAGTGAGTAGCAAACCCGTTATTATGGGTCTATGTAAAAGCATATTAAGAATGCAGTCAAGGGAAGTTAAAGTAGAAAGAAAAATGTTTTTTTCAACACTTTTCTCACAGCTAGTATAGATGGGTGCGTGAGAACCCCATCACAGCACAAAATAAAATGTGAGGCATCAAAACAGAACTTTTAGCCAGAAATAATAGGAAGTGGTCCTTACCTTAAAATTGTGTGCTTTTTCATAGTTGAAGTGGTTGTCGTTCTGAGTTAAGGCTGCTCTTCTGACCAAGGAGGTGATCTGTGAATAGGCAAAGAGTTTTAGAGGTTGCCACAGAAGTGCCCCCTTGACTCCCACCTTCACCCCCAGGGCCACGGCCAGGAGCTCTTGGCGCTTCCTTCCTCGCTTTGACTTGTGAACAACGGCACAGTTTTTCTCATTTTCCAGCCACAGATCCTCCGAAAACATAGCGCTGGGATCCCAAATCTTTTCTCTGTCTTCCTTGGCGCCCGGGAGCCTGACTGTAGTCAGTACGGTACAGTTTGTCCAACTGCTTCTGATGTTAGACAGCAGATTTGAAGCAGCTGCAGCCCATTCTGCTGAGACCTCTGGCATGTGACTTGAATGGGCTGGCTTGTGGGACGGAAGGAGCTTCTGCATCTGAATAAGTAACGGCCTGTGCCTGTGCCGTGCTATTTCTTAAGGCAGATGTGTGCCTCGAACAATAGCCCGAATTCATGCACTGAGCAACCTTCCCCCCCAGCCCTCCCTGAGCGGTGGTCGCCAGCTAGGTGCTGCTGAAATACCGACTAGGGGGGACGGCGTTACAGCTTCATGCCCAAAAGCATTTCCAGGGACAGATCGTTTTAACTCCGCAGCGTGTTAAAAAAGAACAAACAAACAAAAAGCCCCAGGAAAGCCCACACAACTGAATCTGATGCTGCATCCAATTACACTCAGAGACTTATCAGCCAGCAGCCTGCATGCCAGCAGATTAAGACCTTAAAACCATGATGATTGTTTAATCTTACAGGGCTAAAAAATCTTTTTTTTTTTTCTCCCCATATACTGTAGAAAGGGAAAAATCCATCAGCGGTCCAAGAATTAGTAACACTATTATGCCACGTTTTAAACCAGAGCATTTTGTCAGTGTGCCCTTGTAGCATGGAGCTAACTACTGTCAGGGAAATTCGAAAGCCGAGTTGGGAGGCTACAGGCTAGGAAGCCCCCAGCCCTGTGCAGGGCTTGAGTGAAGGCAGGGGAGCTTCATGTGGGTGTAGGAAGCCCATGCACACAGCCCTGTTTGCAGAACAGGGTCTGCAAGGCAGCAGGAGCAGCTGTCCTTTGCTCTGGTTATGTGCTTCTATAGATTTCGGGAGGAGGAGTGATTTCTAGTTAAAGCCCAGGGACAGGAGGGATTTGGAGCCTGACCAGTCTGTGCTACAGCTTGCAGTGTTCCTTTGGGCACCTGATTCACTTCTTTACGGGCAGGTATTTCCCTCTTCCAGGACATGGAAGATGTGTGACACTGAGCATCCCCTGGAAAGCATGTCCAGGGTCCCATCCCCACTGGCTTCCTTCCCTCCAGCTCCCATTGCCTGCTCCCCTATGCCCATTCTCCACCCATAAGAGGAAGACAGGAGTTACCTGCTCAGCAGAGCACTTCGAGATTTAATTCTCTAAGATGTGTCTAATGCTCAGGATGCTGTGACAGAGCAAACCAGAGGGTTATCAGCGCTACTGGGAAAACTGCTTCTTTGAACTAGCGACACTAGACCACATCAGCCTTTTACAGCCTGCTGCACTTACCCAGAAAACATGTGAAATTGAAGTATTTAATTCACTCATGTTAACTTGTGAAGTTAACGTGTCTCTTTTTTTTAAGTTTGCTTTTAGCTCAGGCTGGAAAGTCTGAAGGTTCACCTAATTCACGTAATAAAACCTCCACCATATAGACTGCCTGCTCTTAGTAAAAGCAATGCTCTCCTGATTTGAAAGCCCGTGGGGACAGATGGTCATCTGTCAGTAACATCAGGCCATGCAATTTCAGATAGTGCCCTACTTAGGGTCTTCAAGAAGTTGTGCAACCTGCAAAATAATCTTCTCAGTTATAAAACGATGCACCTATTTCTATGTATAGCATATTTAATCCCTTTCTTTTCCAGGTAACTCACAGTACCTCTTTTTACATGCTCCGATACTCGAAAGCTTCTGCTCCTCCGTATGGAGGATTTCTACACAACCCCATTGCTTCCTGAGCAGTTGCTGCCTGCCCAGCCCTTCCCTTCCCCAGGGCTCAGCACCATTATCTGACCACTGGTGACAACCTGTGGTGTCCTCCTGCCAGCGATTCCTGATTTCTGCCAGCTCAGGACCTTTATCTGCTTTCCAGCAGATAAAGACAGACTATTCCTCCCCAAGTCTCTCTCAATGTATTTCAAGAGACCAGGAGCAGTGGTTTTAGGGACATCTCTGACCCCAGCAGTAGCAATGGCTTCAGTTTGGGCCATCACAAAGGAAACTTAGGAGCAGCTTGAAGTTGTTATCCCACTCCAGTTTCTTTCCTCAGTACCATTTAAAATGTATTTACATTTCTCTGGAACAAACCCCCCAGATGAGCTCTGAGTTGTTATACACCTCTGAAGCTACAGCATCTAAAGCCCCACAGATACATAAGCTACTTTCTTTCTGACTTTCAGCATAACAGATACAAAGTCAGAGAGAGGATGGTTTCCTAATAGTGCTCTAATATTTTTATTTATGTCACTAGATTGATAAAAATCCCATTATATAACTAATAATTTTACATAACATGTCAGACTTGATACTCAAGCTACAGGCTTATGATGATACATCTTGGAATTTCTATTTATTAAACTATTTTTGGACTATCAGAGTGTCATCCTGGGATCAGACATACAGTACTATATTTAATGGAAACTCTGAGTGTTCACAAAGCATCAAACTTAGACTTGGAGGAGGACAACTCAGCCCAAACAGTTCATATGACTAAGGCAGATCAGTATTTACTGTTTATCATATAGGAAATTTTATTTGTCCCCTAGGTTGCTTTTTCTGCCTCGCTTGGGCCCTGTTTAGACAGTTGTTTAATGGGATCCCTTGCAAACACAGGATGTGTATAGAAGGACAACAGTGAGTGCATCCTTTTAAGAAGCTTAATCATACAAAGCCCTACCAGGTTTGCTGTCTAAAGTGGTGCTGTAAAACTGAGATGAGCTGGACCACATATATAACCCCTTCCCTCTCTAAATATAACACAAACAGCAACAACAGCAAATTCTCAGCAGCAATCAGCTCCAGTATACTGACACCACAGGCCAACCCCACTGCTCTTTTATCCATTTTCTTTTTTCTTAATACAAAATTTACTGCACATGGTGTCAGTGAATCTCTTGATCAAGTTTAGCAAGTTAGCCTGCAGCTAAGGAGAATGCTAGTGGCTAAAAATATTATTGCTGGTTGTCACTGATCATCTAAGCTAGTGAAGGCTGAAAGACAAATATGGGTTGTCTGCATTTTCAGACCAAAGGATTCTGGAGAACATGATTTTAGTTTACTAGCCTCTCTGTAAAACACATGTACTGTATAGCAAATTGCATATTTACAGCAAAATGAATGTCCCTGAACCAGAATAATAACATTAAAAAGGGGGGGAAGAGGGTGGACTCAGCTGTTGCGCCATTTCCAGCATGCCTTTGCAGAGTGAGCTGAACCACACCATTGTCTCTCCCCTCAAACACTGGCGTCTTGTTTGCTAACAAGGGCCTCAGGGGTAGGACAGAACAAATTTTCGTATGAACAGTTTTCGTTTTTGTACGCGTTGCGTGATTTCTCTTGCAATCGTGTGGGCAGTGCTGAGGACTCACTGGAAGCAAGCGGCGGGGGAGCTCTGCATGCTGCCTGGCTCCTCCGTGCCAGCTCCAGCACGGCGGGAAGAGACACTGCAGGAGCCACGGCTCCTCT